CCCCAAAAAAACCCCTTTTCCCCCCCCCCTTTTTTTTTTTTTTTTTTTTTTTCCTTCTGCCCTTTCCCCTCCCGCATTGAAAGGGAATGCCCTTCACCCGGCATTTACAGCATTTTTTTCTTCCTAAAGATCAGCCCAAGCCGTCGCCCTCCCGAGCCTTCGGCTGTTTTAAAAATAATAATAATAATAATTAGGGGGGAAGGAGGGAGCTTGTATTTACATTAAACAAAACGCTGAGAAAAGGGTCGCTAAAAAGTCTGCCTTGACCCCTCTCTCTCCGGTTTAACAAAGAAGGAAAATATTGTATCAAAAGTGAAGTGAATGGGGAGGGCGGAGAAGAGAAACAGCTTTTCCTCCATTCAGCCGGGGAGGGGGGAGAAATGTTTGAATATTTCCGTTTCTTTTGAGAAGCGGGGCAGCCCCGGGCAGGGCTGAATGGGAAAGTCTTGTAAGCAGGCTGGGAGGCTGTCAAACTGCTCAGAGTAATCACTGCTAATGAAGGGGTCTCCAGCCCTCCCTGGGACAAAGGATGCCTACGAGTGCTCGCGGGGGCTGAATAGCTAATAAGTTTGCAAGGGGGAAAAATGAGTGAGCTGTCCGCCAATTGATTTTGCAAGAGCAAAAAAGAAAAAAAGAAATAGGAAAGCAAAAGGCTTGCAGGTTGGGGAGAGCCTGGCCCCGGTGCAGCTGGGGACAGAAGGCCCACTTATCCGGGCCGCATTGTCCCGGCCCTGGTGCTGCAGAGGAGGGCTGCTGCTGTTTGCGGGGGAAGCCGGCGTGGAGGGAGGGCTGGGGGATGCAGGAGCCTTGGAAAAGCCACAGCGGCCTTTCCAGGCCGGGAGCGCTGCCCCAGCTGCTGCCTGGCACAGGCGGGTGCTCGCTGCACGCCCATCTTCGCGCTCCAGTTTGCACCAGCCTTGCGGAGCGCTCGTCCCGGCCTCATCCCGCAGCCCGAGCCCACAGAAGGGAGCGACTGTTCCCTAATTGTTCTGCCACCACCTTTTGCCCCTCGTCTAACTACAGCATTTTCTTTGCAGAACAGAAAAAGGGTGGGTGTCTGGAAAGCTATTGAATATTTCGCTGCCACCGCCAGCACGGCTGGGAGGGCTCCCTTACAAAGGGAGCTTTGGCTTGCTGGCCTGGGAGCTGGCTGCTAGCAGAGGCTAGAAAGGAGGCTGGGTTCATTGGGAAGCGCCCTTGTGTGACAAGGAGACGGTGCATCTGATGGCTGGGGGAAGCATGAGCTGTATTTTGGACCTTTCACGCATCCAATTAAAGGCTTGGGAGGATCAGACTCTATCACAGATCCAGTTACCCCTGGCTGATGCAGGGGTAATACCGTGGGAGAGAGCGTAATACTCCCCAGCGATGCCTGTACCTGCCTCCCCGCAACGCCGCGCACTGGCTTTTTTATGTTCATGTTATTTCTTTCTTTTCCAGGGGAAGACCCAAATGTATTTGCTGGAGGGGAGGATGGAGGTGTG